TTGAGTTTGGGTTTGACCAATTCGTAAAAAAAAAAAACGAAAAAAAAAACTAATTAAGACATGCGTGTCCGTCAACCTTACTGTTACATCCCCAGGCAGCGCCGGGCTCTACTGCTAGTATATATATATATATATATATATATATATATATATATATATATATATAAATGTAAAGATATGTTTTGAGGTACAAAACTTTATAACTGCCATAAATAGACAAAAATTGTTTTTATTGCCATTCATGAGGATAATAAAAGTATAACTGAAAGATGGGTTGGCTAACCGCTTTCGAACTTAACAGAGCTAAATCGAGGTTAATTATCACTAAAAAATGGACAAAGTGTATTGGAGAAAAGAAAAAAATGTTTAGATGGAAATTAGTTGAAGGCCTAATACGAAGTCCTTTTGTTTACACAGTGAGGGCTTCAACGATAGAATATAGATGGCCTCCAACACTTTTAAGTGGTAATTCGACTGGGACCTGCTAGGAATGGTAAATGAGTCCACACTGAAACTATCAGCACAATTATAGTTATTTATTAGATGCCCCGCGATGGAAGACCCGTATGTATTGGTCAGAATGTCTGAAGGAGTGTATTTAAGGTTTCGGATTTTCGTTGGAACGCGCTGCTTTATTCCAGCATATATATATATATATATATATATATATATATATATATACATACATACATACATACATACATATATATATATATATATATATATATATATATATATATATATATATATATATATATATATATAAAGAACAAATAGGAAACGTGTAACAATCAATCATGTTTCCCTTTTCTTTAAAGCTTCGTCAGAGATTTAGAGAAAACAGACAAAAATACAACATTTTGGTATTTTCAACTTTGTTTGGGTCGATTCTCACTGGCCAGTCACATATCAAGTGCATGAACAAAATATCAAGTGCATGAACAAAAAGAAAGCTAGCTAGATGATCTCAAAGCGCTTGATGTTCCGGGTGATGGAAAACATTAGAAATCGTCTATAACTGCATATGGCGAATAGAGACCATCATTTGGAGGACAACATTTTTAAAACAAAATGAATAAATCTGTAGCCCTCTGTTTGAACAACAGTGATTTTTTTTTTTTAATGGCAGTCTTTTTGTAAACCTTTAAAATGTGGGAAATATTTTTGCCACATCCTGTACTACGGGAAATTTTCTTTTGATAGTCTATTTTAAGTTTCGTGTATATTTAGCAACGACCACGGTTTAAACTCTACGAAACCCTCTGCGCATACAGAAATAAATACTAAAAAAATCTGGGTAACGTCCACCAACTGGATCCTAGCACACGAAAAATCGACCGACAAATGGAAAAAATCCAATTAAAAATGATCATTAAAAGGAATTTTACGGGTTATTTAACGACACGTCTAAATAAAGACTTGCAGCCAAGATATGCACCATTTAAACGCTCTCTCTCTCTCTCTCTCTCTCTCTCTCTCTATATATATATATATATATATATATATATATATATATATATATATATATATATATATATAATGTATATTTCTGTTTACCAGGCAACATTTAGATAAGACGAAATAAAAATATAGCAAATTTTCAAGAATTTATCCTATACCTGTATTATAAGACGAAAGCTTATTGATTATATAAAGATGGTGTTATTGGATATGTTGTTACTTATTGAATCCTTAGAAATTCAAAATAAACGAAATCACAAAACCGATTCTATATCATGTTTTCCTACACACGTCCTCTAAAAGGGAAACCAACGTTTTGTTCACGTTTAATCACGTGATCTCTTGCGATTACTGATTCTTTTTTCTCCTTTTTTCCTATATCTAAACTTTTACAAACTGCCTGATGTACCAATGGCCATTTACTTATGCTTCATCAACAATAATGAATTTCTAATGAGAAATGAATATTATGTTATCCTAAATTAACAATATGCCGTAATTATCACATCCATGATGATTATAGAAAGTTTGGCGAAATATAAAGTTTGCTGTGAACGCGATCATAACTCAATGTTTACATTTTCTCAGCTGAACTTGCATGGACAGAAATTGATTTCATTGATATGGAATTATTCTTCGAATAGCCAAATTATTATGAAGTTATATAAGGTAGAAATGGTTTAATTTTATCATAAGTTTATTTGATAATGTGAATCTATACATGTACGTTATTGGTTATTATACCGACGCCAAGGTTAGCCTACCGACAAAAAACATCACTCAGAATCTAAGGTTTCTTTTTTAGAATTGTAGTATAAGATGACCACCATTCTTTAATCCTGATTTGGGGGATTTAAAGGTCATCTCGTAGGCGGAAATATACGATATATATATATATATATATATATATATATATATATATATATATATATATATATATACCTGATGATCCAATATCCTTTAAAAAGGATTTTGGTGAAATAAATTATTGTAATGGTACCTTAAAGTGGTCTGCTTTTTATATATATATATATATATATATATATATATATATATATATATATATATGAACATTTCAGAGTTAACCTGTAGAAAAGACAATATTTATAAATATAAATGACAATAGGAAAACTGTAGTTACTGCAGACGCGAAAGCTGTCTACAGTTGACCTGTTACAGCTAAACAGTCGAACTCTCTTTCTTCGGGCGGAGAGGAACCCGGACGAGGCTCCGCCGAAGGGCAGAGTCTCGTTCGGGGTGGTTGACTGCCACTGAACCCGTTTATGCGGGTTCAAAGAAGGATTATTTTTGGACGAGCTTACGGCCTTGTGCCACATGTAACCCCCGTGGGGTTGGGGGTAAGTAAATATCGCTGACGCATTTCGTCCAATGTGGACTTTCTATTGTCATATATATATATATATATATATATATATATATATATATATATAATAAATTATTACATACGGACAAAACAACAAAACAATTACTGACGACAAAGATGCATTTTTATTCCGATAATATTTTTATTCCGACGTGTAAGGAACGAAAGTGATTATGAACGATTCTATTTAAAAATGCCGCTTATGGAACTACACTTTCTTTTTTTTCATTATTGAAATTGTTTTTGGAAAAACCATAATGGCAAACACAATAAAAGGAAAAGGAAAAACATAAAAAGGGTTTCCATAAAAGGAAAAGAAAAGAAAAGATTTATAATAAGAGGAAAACCAGTAAAAGCAAAGAAAAGTGGGTAAGAAACCAAGTAAAGGAAAAAAAAAGGAGGGAAAAAAGAAAGAAAAATATAAGAGTTAAGAAAATTTAAAAAATAAAATAACACGTCGAAAATTCCGGAGAGAAAGAAGAAAAAAAAGGGAAAAGAATAGAATAGAATGATAAAAGGAATGGGAGAAAAAAACTACCTGAATACAGAACCAAAAAATAGGATAGCAAAAAGTAAGAAAAGAGAAAGAAATAAAGAAAGGGGGCAGAGGAAGACAATAGTAGTTGTTGATAGCAGTTTAGGCGGTGAAAGAACGTTAATATTAAGATAAAAACTGACCCGAAAAATTTAAATGTAAGGGGAAGTGTCAACTAAAATTCTTGGTACTTTACAACGGTCAAAATCTAAACAAACACGTCAAAAAACTTCCAAGCGATTCAGCCCATGAAAGAACGCCAACACTAAGACAAAAACAGACCCGAACGACCCTGATCTAAGCTGAAGGGTCTGCTATAGCTTCAAATACTATGCGGCGATTCAAATTTGACAATATTTAAAAAAAACAAAAAACAGACATATTTAATTGAATAAACGTAGTATGTAAATTAATAAAGGACCCTTTAAGAAATAAAAATAGTAGATATGCAAAATAAATAAATTATTTGGGGTATTACAATACAATTCAAGTTCAGAATT